AAATACATTCTGAGCTGCGCTAAACAGTGTTACGTTCACTCTGAATGATTGTCCCACAATAACAAACTACTGAGGGGTCAAAGACCAGATGATCTCAAAGTTCATGGTTTTTCTTTTCTCATCTGTTCAGAGCTAAAATCGTAGAGCACTATTTATAGCAGAACAAAAGTTTCCAAACATGCAGCTTCTTATCTCAGCTGAGCACGGCCATTTATTTGGATATTTGCTTCAAAGACTGAAGCCAGGAACTAAATGGTTCACTATAATAGGCTGTCACTGCAGCAGTGCAGATAGCTCATCCTGCGTCAGAGGGAGCGCTGCCCTGAATATTAAACTGCTCCAGTCTTCATCATCACCTCCCTTTAATCCTTCGGAAAATGGAGCACAGACACACATACACATCTGCATAGGTCAAAGGCAGCCAAGTTCACAAACCCTAAAGCTCGAGATGTAGGAGATACTTCAGGTTAAGTTTTCTTGTCTTTACAGGTGTTTGTGGTGGGATGCAGGTGTGCATTCGGAGGGAGATGTAATGCATGCAACAGGACACTTCACTCAATTTTCCAAAAAAAGGTATGAAGGAATGAAAATGGTTTTCAGGATCATTGAGGCGACAGCAATACCTGATCATTTCAGCTTCAATTTGATTTATATCACTTTAAAAAGGTGCCACTACTGTACTGTTCTGTCACACACCGGCTGTTACAGCCGTGGATGATTTTTGAATAATGTAGGTCAGACGTGAAATGGTTCTTAATGCTCAGGCATGTTTTACTGCTCTTGGCTCTGTGTGGTGCTAAAGAAAGAGGAGATTGATGATGATGAACACAGCAGCCGCAACCCACCTGCTGTTCAAATCTTCTGTTTGCAAGTGGGCAACCAATCAGAAGACAGCTAAAACAACTTGTTTCAGACTGCAGCCACACTAAGGCCACGTTTTAAATGAAATCTCTTTGCGTGTGTCTGTATGCGATTTAGTCCGCAAGGAGTTGAGCAACAAAACTTGGCACAAAGTTTAGACTCCTGGATGCGCTTATCTATATCAGATATTATAAGGCTGTCACGTTGCCAAGCAACCACTTACCAAATGACCTTTTTTTTTAAGGTTTTACACACTTACAACACCTTAAAAGCATCGCATAGTTTGAATTTTCATCACATTTATACCCACACAGTTGAGTTATTTATCATACATTATGATGCCACGACCCCTATTCCATTACTACCTACTCAGATTGACTGGGCACGGTTTTTAGGGTGTTCCATTAGGTCAGGGGTGTCGAACTCCAGGCCTCGAGGGCCGGTGTCCTGCAGGTTTTAGATAACACCCTGGGCCATCACAGCTGATTTACAACTCTAGGCCTTGGAGGCCTAGAGTTCGACACCTGTGCATTAGGTCAGGTGCTATGTGGTACCAGTACCTGCTTGGCCGGGTGACGTCGTCAGACTGCATGCCACCGATTGGCTGGTCAGTAGAGTCACTCGATGAGTCATGAGATCATCTCATTCACGAAAATCAAACCTGCCATTTCTGGAAACGGTTACAAAAAAGCAAAAAACAAAAAAACCCAAAACGCAGTGTTCTCCGTCTCAGCAGACCGAGCAGCAGGTATTCTTGCTTCTACGTCAAGCTTTGTTGTAGAGTTTGTTACGTCGCAGGACGCTCGAATGCGTTGCGGTCCAAGTAGGTAGTAATGGAAAAGAGGCCTAATGTGATTAAATATTTGAGTTTGCCAACAGCACCAAACGCTCCAGTTAATACTGTAAGCATGGCCATCTATTGTTATAAGAAAATGAAGGATTATTTTGAACTGTGTATCAGATATTAACTCTAATTCACTTAAAATTTTCCAGCTCTTACATTTTATAGTTGGTACAAGCATAACCAGTCCCCTTGACTGAAATTTCATGGAAACAATTTTTTTTTTCTAATTTTAGCTTGGAGTGTATAAAAACACACAGCCTGCATATCTATGAAACTGTCCCAGACAAGAGTTATGTAATATAGTGCAACTCCTGCAATTTATATCTTCCTAATGACAAGGCTGACATTTTGGACCCCCGTCTCTGGGGGTTAAGCAAACTCTGCACACTATACCAAGATCCTTCAAAACAAGTCCATTCTTCCTCTCAGACTGTAACCGTTGAGCCCCTGTCAACTCACAAAGGGTCCACAGAGCCATAAAATAAAGGCCCAGGGGTCCCATATATCAACGAGGCTGGACCACAGAGCAAAATCGGCTATTTTAAACATGTGTGAATGCCTCTCGCTCACCAGGGAGAAAGGGACAGTCACACAGCTGGCAAGACAGGTTACAAATCATTATGCGAGACATCCAGCCCGTGTGAAACCAGCCCAGCAGGCGCCGCAGGCAGAAAAGTCTCCAAGCGGTCAAATCAATTCATAAATAATAAAACGTCTGAGTTGTACATTAACTGCAATGTGATTTTTATGCAAATACTGATTTCAGGTCTGTTACAGTGCAGCCAGAGAACCAACAGACACTTTCACGACAGAGCAGGATGACGCAAGATTGCCACATCAACAGACACCTGCAGACCCAACCCGTCCTGCAGGTTTAATCCACAAGAAAACTGTTACCGCACAGCACATTGATGGGAATAACAGCAGATAACCATCACCCTCAGAGCTTGAAACCATCAGATAAAGTCTGCTATTAAGTAACAGCGGTTGGAGTGGTTTGGAAGGAAAGGGGTTTTCTCTGAGTGGCCTCAGCAGCTTTTGTGTTTTTGTGGCCACACAAGCACCATTCAGACAGATGACCCGCTGCAAACACTCCCCCTTCCCACCTCAACTCTTCTCCTGAGGAAACCAGGACACCAACCGATTATTCCTGTGGACATTTAAATAATTGTGGTAGCTGAGAGAAAAGACAACTGCTTTCCCTTGTTGCCATGGAGGGGATTAAATGAGCAGTATAAAAGGCTGGCCGGGCTTTCAATACAAGTGTAGAGACGGGATTAGTGGCGTTAGAGAGGCCGCCGTATGACCTTCTGACTGCTTAGTTCATTAGGTACAACACAGGCCTGGAACTTGTGTTCGTTATCCAACTGTTTAATAGCAGCTCCTCCACCCGGATTTACGATGAGCTTAATTAAAGCCCAGCCATCTCCAAACGGCCGTCATCTTTTACTAGTGTCCTGAATAAAGGCAGATTCACAGAGAGCATAAACCCCACACAATGAGGTGTTATGTTTCATAAAAAACTTAAAACACAAAAAAGGCTCCATTCACAGCTGTCATGCCGCGTTTAAATTACACCGCAACCTCATGTGAACTTCTCCTCCGGGTTTGTTTCGTTTGAATCCGAGTTCACCACGGAAAACCCTGACACTCGAGTCACCACAAACATCATCAGTGAAAATGTGGGATCTCTGTGACCTACAGGCTGCTGGTCACGTCTGAGGGAGGAAAACTGAGCGGAAAGACGCTCAGCCGAAAGAGTCCCATTTGCTCCAGCTCAGTAAAGGCTTGACTAATGGGCGTCAGGATAAGAACACAAGTTTTTTTTTAATTCTCCTGCTGATGCTGATGCTCCTCTCTGGACAGCATTTTCTCACAGGCCACACAGCAAGAGGCAGACAAGCACCCTTAAAACCAATGAGCTGGGGTCTCATGGGACCATAATTTGGTGAAAAATGTGTCTGAAATTAAATATTCCCAAACGAAATCTCCCAATACAGTCTTTGAAACCTTCCCAGCTAAATTTGTGGCTTTCCTCCCTCGCACTCAGTTCATCTTCCTGCTCCGTTTTCGTATAAATAAACTCATAAAGCCCCTGATCAAAGCAGCCAGTGCCACCGCTTCAAAGTAAATCACTGTGCTGAAGGATAAATATTATTTCCTGCATGTTCTCCTGTGCTCCCACCAGTGTAACGTCACTCATGGTGAGAGCGATTTATGGGAAAACAGGGACTGTGTCTGTCGGCAAGATGATTCCAGACTCTAATGGATTTGGTTTAAGGAACAGCACGCAGGTCAGCTAAACATCGCATTCATACCCTGACTCGCTTCAAAAGCAAACAGCTCTTTTCTTGTCAGGTTAAACGATCTTTAAAAACAGCAATCAAGGGTTTTTTCTTCCCCTTCTTCTTTTCCATTTTAAAGTGCACATTCTTCTGAAATCAGCCAGTGAGGGTAATGACAGAAAAGCAAAGCCACACAGAGTTGCAGCTGAGAGATGCAAACTTGAAGGCTTTAAGTCATTACAAATTTAAAAAAACTAAGGAATGAATCTGTTGCATGTATGACTGTTGCGTATGTGTCTGTGATTCAGACAAACTCATGCCTAAACAAGGGCAGCTGACTCATACTTCCTCGTAGGCATGTCTGCAGGTGTTACTTTCCCCTCCTCCATAATTAATTACAACCTTTCTGATAAGAACTAATAAATGTTTCTAGACTTCCTGGTGAATGATACATTCCTCCTGTCAGTACTGACTGATGCTCCTGTGACGTAATGCCTCATGAATAACTTTATTAATCATGAACTACTTTGAATATTCTGCATCAGACATTTTTAGATATTAACTTTTTTAAACAGCTACTTTAAACAGCTACTGACAGCTGTTTGCTTTGATTATACACAAAACTACTCATTTATTAAAGATTCAAATACCCTTTAATATCCTGCCACCAGTAGCAAACCCTCATAATTTTTGTACTGCTGTTGTGTTTGGGATATACTGGAGATGAATTACTCCCACTGTAGTGGTAAGCACTGGGAGTAGATGGCCCTGTATGCGTGCAGACCACCTGTCTGGACACTCTTACCTGTGAGGTATCAAAAGGTGAGACAAATACTGAATATATCAACAGCACTGGGCTCAATCACCGGTGATCAGACAGACATTTACCTGGATTAAAAGCACACATTTCATTTAAAGACATTTTCCCCCATAACAAAGGAATCACTTAGCCCCCTAACACACTTATATCCCACAGTGCTCAGCATTAGTATTCCCATTCATCTACTCACCAAAGCTCGGAGAGAGGGCTCATCCAACGCTGAATAGCTTTCCATGGACATTTCCGAGTGTCCTGTCGAGCTCAGGTGAGACGAGGTCTGGATAGGGATAGGTGTCCCGATCAACAACAACAACGTCTGTACCCACCTGCACGGCACGTAGGCTGTTGTTATCGTCTTTTTAAAAATTATCCGCACTGTCTATAACTTTCTACTCAGCACAGCAGAAACTTTTTTTTACTTCTGACAACAGAAATAAACCCTCGTCCTGCTACAAGAGCATACCTCGGTCGTCTTCGTCCGTTTCTCGAGTCACAATGAAAGTACACACAGTCCGAAGTTCTCACGAGGAGACGTTGGGAGCTTTTTGAACCGAGGATTCCCTCGGAAAGGTGTAACCCCGCCCCTCGCTGGATCTGGCCTCTCCCGGCGCTCATTCAAAGCGCGCCGCTGTGTGGGGAGACGTAAAATAGCCTCCAGGTATATATGGCACTCAAATCTTTAAGACTCTCATTAAAATCCCATCTTTTTTATAATATTAATGAAGCCTCCCTAAAAGAATACTAATAATTATACATGCCTGTTACCAATAATTATAATAATAATTACATCTATTTATAGTCTGTAATTACCTGTTTATACAGTAAATAAGGGATTAGTTTATATGATAGTACTTATCTAATAAATGTAGATTTTTAAGTTTTATTGTTGATAACAGGGCAGTAGAGCAGACCGGAAAGGTGGGACAGAGACCAGGGAGGGAATGACACACAGGAAATAGCCCAGAGTTGAACTAGAGCCAGGCCCCTGCAGTAACCTTTCAGCAGATGGACATCCACTCACCCCACTAAGCTAAACTGACGCCCAAAGTGTGCCTTCACTACTGCCTTCATTCAAGATTTTGTGCAAATGTTCCAGAGAGATTTTGGTTTATGTTGACACTGATAGCATCACACAACTCCACCACATCCCAAAGGTGCTCTGTTGGATTGAGATCTGGTGATTGTGGAGGTCATTTGAGTACAGTGAAGTCATTATGTTCAAGAAATCAGTTTGAGACTATTTGGCCGTTGTGACATCAGCCATCAGAGTAAGGTTACACTGTGGTTATGGACATAGTCAGCAGTGACAGTCGGACTGTTTGACACTATGGAGCCCAAAGTGTGCCAAATAAATGTATCCTACACTATTGCACCATCAGCAGCCTGAACCACTGATAGGCATTCATGCTTTCATGTTGTTCACACCAAATTCTGATCCTACCATCTGAATGAAATCAAGACTCAGACCAGGCAGCATTTCTCCAATCATCTATTCATGAGGTTTTGCAAATTGTTTCCTGTTCTTAGCTGACAGAAGTGATAACCAGTGTGGTCTTCTGCTGCTGTAGCCTATCTGCATCATGGTCCCTCATGTTGTCCATTTAGAGATGCTTTTCTGCATACTTTGGTTGTAACGATTGGTTATTTGAGTTACTTTTTTGAAGCAGTCTGGCCTTTTTCCTCTGGCCATTGACATCAACAAAACATTTTCACTCACAGAACTGCCACTCACAGGATATTTTCTGTTTTGGGACGGTTCTCTGTAAACCCCAGAGATGGTAGTGTGGGAAAATCCCAGATCAGCAGTTTGTGAAAAACTCAGAGCAGCCCATCTGGCACCAACAACCAAGCTACGTTCACAGTCACATAGATTACCTTTCTTCCTCATTGTGATGCTCAGTTTGAATTTCAGCAGGTCATCTCAAGCATGCCTACGTGCCTAAATACACTCAGTTTAACACAGAAGGCAAAGCAATTTACTCAAATTTAAAGTAAAATAATTAATAAATAAATAATCAGAGATTCTGGATTTCTGATTTTCATGCACTTTAACCCAAAAATCATCCAAATTAAAACAAAATAAGTCTTGACATACAGGTATTTAACTTTACATTTAATGAATATATAATATATTAAAATTTAACATTTTAAATATTATTAAAATAAAAACATTTATACTGTATTCTTAGTGTTAGAGACACTAGTATTTCACTTCCCTAGCCACGCTGTTGGCGGTAGAAAAGAAATGAGCAGTGGATTAAGTGAAGAACATGAGCAGATATTTTAGTCTTTCTGCCACTTTGTTACAACCAGGTTTATTCATGTGATGTATATGGAAAAGAAAATACAAACACCAGTCACAAAACTATCAAAGTGCGCCTTAAAACTTTTAATAACTACACAAGACAAAGAGCATCAAGACAGCTGTTCTTAAACAGCACGTCAGCCTAAAATCCAACAAAAACAACACACAAGGTGATTTCGCTCATGAGCTGCTGTCTACTTGGGCATTTTGATCACAAAGGCAAAATGTGCAGATCTCATTATATGAGCAGGCCCTATGTTACACACAAAATACATCCTATCTATCCTAACTACTTAGAGGAGAAACATACAAAACTTTTAACACTACTTCATAAAATATTAGAAAACATCTTATAACACCACAAATATAATTCTATAAGCTTTCTATATGAATTCTATATGATCCGAGATATGATGGTATTTAAATACAAATGAAAACATTACTGAGTAGTTACAAACAAATTATTAAAGACAAAAGTTTAACAGTATAAAAAGACAAGTGTTCAATCGAACTGAAAAATCTTCTCTTGGTCAAAGATGTAGAAATTAAAATTGTTCCTCAAGCCCTTTAAACTAAATGTAAAATCTATCAAAGTGCTTTAGGTTATAGAAAGACGAAGAAACGGCAAATAGTGGTTACAAAAAAAAAAAAAAAAAAATTAAACGTAACAATAATAGGCTCGAGTAACAAACGAAATATAAAGTCTAACAAACGACACTGTTGGGGTCGGGTGACTGCCCTTGACACACACACAGTTTTCTTCATAAACCAAGATGTGATTTTTAAGGTCTTAAAAAAAAAACAAAAAAAAAAACAACCTTATATTCAGTATAAATTAAGTCCATCTTAGCATTTATAGTGAAGGCTTCATGTTAGCCATAAAACATCTGATATAAAGTAGAATATGTATGAATAAACCAAACAGACTTAAGTGCCCCTATTATACTTTGTAGGCTTTCCCTATTCTTTAGTGTGTTATGCATATAATCTGTATGTGAATGATGGACATAACCTCCAGGTATGCCTCAGGCCTGCATCCTTTTAAGCGGTCAGTCTCCTCTGTTTGTAGGCTATGTGAAAAATGGTCCTCGGCTCCTTGGCTACCATGAGGAGTATTTATGGGCTCAGTAGCTAGCTTCAGCTCATACTGGATAAAACATGAAGTTCATTTTATAAATTATGCTCCTTGCCGGAGTCATCTGTCAGCATCTTGTCAATCAGAAGTTGATAACTAGTGAGTGTGCAGTTTTAAAGATCAGCTCGAGGCTTCCTAACAGGACTTCTCTAATGAACAGGTGACGCTACGCTGGCTACACTATTTAGCTTTTCTGTGCAGGTTTGCAAAGTTATAAAGTCCATAAGGAGTTACAACCCCCAGAAAACACTGCTCCTGAACTCATTCTAGATTGCTATGCACCACACTCCTATAATGCCACAAGACTGGCACTCCCTCAAACAAAGAACGAGCAGCTGCCTCACAGTCTGCCATGATTTTCACAGTAGAGTCATTTCTGCTCATTCCAAAATATCTTAGTTTAGAGCAAAGCATGCCAAATGTTCTGCTGACTGAAAGACGGTATGCAGGAGTCTTCATGCACCCCTGATATCTGAGGAGGCAGAGTTCAGCACTCCTATAATCTTGATGTTAGAACAGCCACATCATGATGGTTCAGATAAGTAAGAGATAATGGTTGTACTGTGATTTCATTTATATTTACATGTAAACTAATCACAGAAAGTTGGAAGTAATCAAAATTCTCTCTATTCTGGACTATCTTAAGTATATAATCATAGCTGTCCTTGCTTTCATGCCAGCTGACCAATCAGAGCAGGGTTTTGTGCAACGGGGGTTCTTAAAATGAGAGGAGCTTAAATGGGAGCTTTTGAAGATTTCACAAGTATACAGTTTGAGAAAATTGTAGTTTTGAACATTAAGGCATGTAAGCTTACTGTAGCAGTCTCCCAAAATAAAAATTACAAAGCTACAAAGAAGCATAATAGGGGCACTCTATTTTTTTTATACTAAGAGTAAAATTCCTCAAGATATAAACTTTAAAATCCAAACACTCTCACAGGCACTTAGCAGATAGCTATATGTTTCATTAAGTTTCAAAAAGTGCAAAAAGTTACACGAAAAGCAGAAGAGTAGAAGATTTGGTTATTCCATTTCTGCACCAGTCTCAGCTCTCACTCTTCGTCCTGCTCTTCATTTTGCTTCTTGGGTAACTGCAGTTGAGAAAAAAAAAAAAGTGAAAATGCTTTTAAAATCATGCTGTGTGGCCCTCACGTTAATGATACAGTTATTCTGCGATCAAATGTCTTCAAACTTTTCTTCTTCTTTTTTTAACTCGTTCTGTGTGCAGAGAATTAACGATCTCACTTATTTCATAGTAATAATTACATCCTTGTATTTATATTTGCATCATCCTATGATCACCATGAAGAGCGCACATGGTCTGCATCAGTGTGCAGTTACATTTCTATCAAACCTTCTTTTTAGCATAGTGCTGGCCTTACTTTACTGGGTAGGGTCCACCTTTTGTGCACATTGGACAGAACTGCAAACAGCTGTGATGCAGCGTGAGAGCCATCTATCAAAGCTAGCAGTATGATTTGGAGCAGTTTGTGCCGTAATGGCTCTTTTGTGATGGCCTAGCTGCACCATAGACATATAAATAGGTTTTTGTCACCCATGACCCCGTTGCTGGGTTCACTGGTTGCTATGCCTTGGACCACTTTCAGTAAATGTTACCAAGAGCTCCCATGACCTGCTGTTTTGGACCTGCTCTATCCTCAATGTTTTCCTTGTGAAAGTTTCACAGAGGGGCGTTGAACAAAGTTCTTTCTTTGTGCTAGCTGGTTTAACAAAACCTAAACCCCAGGTCAGAGATAACAGGTATCACGAGTGGTTATCAACTTTCTCTGTTAAGCTGTGTGCCCACATAAAAAGGGGCGCTTCACCCCTCATGTGACTTTTGTTCCTGTCCAAAATAATCCCTACGAGTGTTGTCTACTGTCATCAGAGATGCTATCAGATAGTGCTGATAAAATGGTGATTAAAAATCTATAAAGAACCTAAAAACCATAGCAGTGAAATGCAACACTGTCACAAATAAGATAAGAGATGAAATAATCTGGTGATTTAGTGTACAGACCAGTAAAATAAACATTATGTTAATTGGCAGAGGTGGAAAGTAACAAAGTACAAATACTGTACTTAAGTACAATTTTCAGGTACCTGTACTTGAATAGTTTTTGTTTTCTCACTACTCTTTGCTTTTCCTTCCTATAGTTGTTTGTTGAGGTACTTCAGCATCTAGCTAGCCATACTGAAGACGAGTAAGCATTAAGGGAATGTGAGGTCATTACAAATGCAGCGTTTTTAAATCAGCTCAACAAACATCAGCTAAAGGTCCAGCTGCTGTATTTCACTCCCAGATGGAGAAAGATAAGAAAGGGGACAGGAGAGAAAGAAGAGAGGTTAATCTAAAGGTAAGAATTGCTTAGTGGGATTTGATAAACTGTAAATTTAAAGCTTACATGTAAGTCCTCATGTTTTTAAATCAGATATTGGGTCTGTACATGTGACATTATGTTTTTTTCATATTGTCAAACTTGCTGCAAAGCAAACTGAGGTAGACTAACTGCTATTTAAAGGCTGCATGAAAATCCTCTGCAGGTTAGTGGAGGATAAACAGGTTAGATTCCTGTGCTGTGATTGGTTTAAAGTAAAGAACAGTGTGCACAGACTGGTGCACAGAGGCTGTGGTTTTATGGTCATAGCTATACTATAAACCACCGAATGTATGTCAGTAGAGATTGTGCACAGTGTATGCACTGTTTGGAAGGTAAAGACACTGTCAAGGTACGTCACTCGTTATGCATAAATGTGCTGTGTTTTTATTGTTAATCAAATTAGGATTATTAGCAGAAACATCTTATTTGGTTTAACTTCAATTTTTTCTACTTTTACTTTTTTATGCCACCTGCAAAACAAAAAGTTTCGGCTTTCGCTTTGTTTGTTTTTTTTACATTTTATTTTATTATTAACAGGTTACTTTGAATAGGTTAACTTTATCCTACTGCTCTGTCATTAATTTAAAGTTTAAGTTTTGGCAAAAACAATTGAGGAACAAACAAACAAACAAAAAAACAAGCAGGAAAATTAGCTGGTGTTGCCTGGGTTAACTTTTTGCTTTTTCACCATGTACATGCTCTGATCCTACAAACATGCAAACAAATATCAATGTAGGTGAATGGGATTTTAAAAGTTGTGTACCTTTGATACTTGATTCCTTCTGTTACCTCTTCCTTCTTTGTTTTCTGGATAATGAAGTCTGGTGGAAAAATACATTTAAATGAGAATATTAATAACATATCAGGTCCATTCATCTATTTTCTTTACTACTTGTTAAGAGTCACAGGGAAAATATCACTAAAAGTGCAGCAAAAAGTATATATTTAATAATTTTTTAAAAACTAACAACAGTCGTGTAAAGCTAAAAAAATATTTGCACATATAATTATTTTACCCCTTTAGAGATGCATTCTTGTCTGTGTCACTGAAAGAAAAGTGAGCCCCTTCTTCTTCTCCGCCCTGCTGAGGTCTGTTCTTAAGCGAAACATCAAAGTTTGATGCCTTCCTTTGATTCGGTTGGCCGATGCAGCTTTTCTGCCATCCCCTTTGGTTTTGCCCTGATGGTGTTTCCCTGTCAAATGCAAAGTCCTCATCCAAGAAGTCTGCTATATACAAGAGAATTTTAAAAAAAAGAAAAGAAAAGGTGTAAATGAAAACAAATGCAGATGTAGATACAACAGAAGAAAAACTGGACATACAGTATCTAGTAACCCAAATAAAATGCAAACAACACAAACCTTTAACAAGTTATACAAACGTGTTTGCTGATACTGCATGAAAGGTATTCTAGCTTTATGTATGTAGTTTCTTTAAACTGAATTGAACATTTCTTTAATTCTGATTTTATCTAACCACAAGTACAAACGAAAACTCAATTAAACACACATAAACATAAAATATCTAAATCAATTTTATTCTCATGCTGTGATCACATTTAACTCCCTGATGAAGGCTCGTTTGCTGAACAAAGTTGTTTTAGATTTATGTGCTGTTACAGCTCACCTGGCTGAGCTCGTGACCCAAATACTGAAGGCTAATGCAGTGGCCTGGATTTATGTCCACCCAGGCCATTTGCCGTCTGTCACCCACCCCCACCCCCCACACTTACACACACTTTCCCCTGCTTTTGTTAAAGGTTAAAATGCCAAAACGTGACTAAACCATGAGAACAAAGACATTTTAAATGTCATTTAAACACAAGTGCGTCAAATCGCTAAATCACTGTTGAAACACAGACTTACAAAATTATTTCTGCTCATATAAAAAACAATGTCTCCATATATTACTACATCACTGCAAATGGCATATTTAGATTTCTCAGAATTAGTCAGTTATTTATTCCCATATTTCAGGTTTCTGAATAAATGTCAGATTTTACCTTGGTGCCTTATTCTCCTCTGAAACTCTGGGGACGGCAGCCCAAAGGCTTCTCTACCAGGGCTTAGTGGCTTTTTGATCGATGCTTTTGTTACGTTATTCAGAGGGTGAGCACTCTGGGGCCGCATATCACATTTGTCCTGTATTAAAGAACAACAAAACAAACAAACTAAATAAATAAAACTTTTAAAAAAAACCCAATACATACACATGTAGTTGAACACATTTTAAAAGGTAACACAGAGTTCTTAACAGTCATCATGAAGTGGGAGTTTTGTATTGGCTGGGTAATTAGACGAGTGAAATACCTGATGGTGAAAGACTACAGCCTCTTCAAGAGCAACTCCACAAAATTCACATGGTATGACCACATCGCCCTCTAGTGGACTGGCTGGAGGACTGTAGGACGCTGGGGAGACTGACCGCGGGAAGGTGGGGATATTAGAAGCGAGTGTGTCAGGAAGGCTGTGCATCAGCCCTGAAGTACTGGTGCTGGTCCTGTCATCTTTAGGTGGAGATGAGGGCTGTTTGCTGAAAGACGCAAAGGCCGAAGCAGGACTGCATCCAGTCTGAAACAGAGAAAAGTGGACACTGTTGAAACCTACGCAAGTCAAGTTGTCATGTTATGTCTAGATGGAAATAAGGCATGTGCTCCAACATGCATAGAGTTTAAGTGGACTGTGAACAATCGAAGATAAACCAAAGGTATGCAAATGTTTGCACGCTGTGTGATATCAGTCTGGATCTACGTATTTTACACTGAGCAGCACACACAATTACTTGTCATTTAACAATACAGAGTGCCAACTGAGAGGGCAGCAGTGTGTGCAGAAGGCTTAGAAAGAGAACCAGAAATACACAGAGGTTATGAACTAAAGCTGAGGCTGGACTCAGACCAAAAGAGGGAAAATATCTGAAAATGTCAGCTGAAGTTACTTGGCAGGCTGAAGCAGGTCTTTTAGACTGAGTAAATGAATGTTTCTCTAAGAGGAAATATCTCATGATTTCCTGTCAGATATGCATAAAGTTTAGTTTCAAGGTGTAGCCTCTGGGTGGACGCCATCAGAAATATCTAAGTTCATTAGTCAAAAAAACAGAAAGAAAGAAAAAAGAAATTAACGAGTTAGTGATTAAACATTTTACATTTATAACAAAAATGGCAATATCTTATTTAAAATAACTTGACTGACAGGGTAAAATCATCAAAGGCACCGTCTCTTTAAATAAAATTCACAACGCCTGTATTCTAACTAACTGTTCAAACTAAAAAACAAAACAAAAGAAATCCAATGCGTTTCACCACACAAGCCATCATCAGAAAATAAAACAGGACTTTATAAGGAATACATGATCGTTTGTAATGACGTTCCACTAATGGTAAGCTTCCACCTAGGATGAAAGTGGCATTTTCCACTAGAGAAGCTCCACCAATAGGAGGAATCTTGAAAACCTGGACAGGTGCACCTATGTGTTATGGTGTTTTGGGCTTCTGCGTGAAGACTTCTGCACTGAAATACAATGGAGTTTTTGCTAATAGTTTATAATGGTAATACTATATAATAGCCCATGACTTAGAGCATAATTCCCCAGAAGTTAAATGGCATTTCAATGTATTTTATTTAAAAAAAAAAAAAAGCGATTATATTTACCTACAAATGCTTAAAAGGTTGGGCACATTAGAATAATGGGGCAGCAAGTCAGCTTTTAACAGGGGGGTGGCTGTGCATCCATAATGCACGTCAACATAATGAATATTAAATATAGATGTAAAAAAATACAATAAAAATAAAATAAAGACGTAAAAAGGCAACATTAATCCACTCGATAATACGGCCCGTGTACCACAAAGTACGAAATCGTTTTACTCATGCAATATGTAAAATTATTTACATGCTACTTTAATTTAATTATAGTATAATTATTTCCTGTAAAAGCCTGACTTGTAAGCCCCTTATTCACGTGTACCTACCTTTAGGTATTAGTGGGTAAATATAATTAGATTGTAATTTCAAATTGAAATGCATTGAAATTTCATTTAATTACAGGGGAGTTAGTTGCAAGCAGTATTTTAAAGTTACACCGAGTTTTTTAGGTTAAACATCACCACTCTGTGAGAATAAAAGCAGTTTAATGTTACTTGGAAATACAGTTCCTAGGAGTTCTTTGATGATTTATGCTTTGTGTTTTCCTTCCAAAGACAACTTGACATAGATTTGCTATGAATAGTGATATGTTTTGTTCTCAAAGAACCAACTTTAAATATTTTTTGTTTCACTGATTATACAGCCAATAAACACCCAAATGCAAGCAAATGAATATAAGCTTTTACTTTGATAAGTCTGGGGAGGATGAACTGCTCCTTTTTATTTTCATTTGCTGAAACTGGCCCCCTCTAAACTTACACCATGCCTTATTACAGGCGGAAGTAAGACAACGTTTAGAAATGTTGGACGTGAAGAAAATCAGCAAAAGATCCTTATTATTATTCAAAGCAACAATTGTCTAAGTGTATAATTGTGACACACGGCAGTCTTTTCAGGCACCATGTGACTGTAGTGCTTTTGTCCATCGTGTATTCTGTGACCCCACTCAGGTTTTAGCTCAGCCGATTTAAAGGAACTTTCCGACATCTAAAACTCTGAGTGGTAACATCGAGTTAGCACTGAGACTCAAAGGCAATCTCAAACCTGATGTAAAATGAGGTCGTCTTCTGGAAACAGCTCCTCGCAAAATTCACAAGGCAGCATTGCATCTGGGGAAACAATTTGAAATGATCAATAAATGGATATCCGAATAACCTGATGTTTCCAGCAAACATTAACTCACCTTTTTGATCGTGGTCCTGCACTGCACTTGTACTCGATCCAACAGTGAAGTCTGGATAGTTGTTGTTGGACAGAGAAGTGTTGGATTTTCCAATCTTGTGATCCCAGATACCACTCCACACGTTGCCCTCGACACCTCTGGACCCCGTGTCTCCTTCAGTCTGCAGGCTGAGAGCCAACATGTAGTCCAGACCAGATGAATCATCATCCAGAGTGTGCTCAGTATGTGCCCATGTGCTGCCGCTTCTGCTGTGCAGAAAATCACTCTGCCCCAGCACTGGAAGTACAAGATATTTAAAAAAATAATAATAATTAGTTCCGGAAAATAACTCAACAGCATGGCAAATTCATTCTAATCTCTATGCAAAATGTAGAGTAAAAGAAAATATAAATGTCTGTTTAATTATTTTTGGTAAAATGTAAAAGTTAAAACAAACATGACAGTAAGAGACCTAAAGTGTGAGCAATATTTCACAAGTTTTTGAAGAAAACTGCCAATAACACTGAGGTTATGCTGATATAGACAAACACACAGTGCTGTGTATGTTCTGTCTGTGTATGTGTGTCCTCCCGCGCAATCAGGAGTTGAGGAACCAAATTTTGCACACAGGTACATCTTAGGCCCCTGAAGCTTCTGATCTAAAACACACGTTATGATGATATCATCATGATACCTAGCAATTATCTAGCAATGGGGTAAAATAACACATTTTTCAGTTTAAGCACCTACAACACCTTATAAAAGTATTTTAATTTTTCAGCTAGTTACATTTCTGGAGCATTCATTTGTGTGCTGCTGTTTCAAAATGTATCAATCAAAACACTCACAGCTGCTGAAAGGATTCTGTGGTGAAATATTTCTCCAGTCTCCTAAGGGCCGAAATCCCCTTGAAGTATTATAAACTGAAGGTCGGGGAAAGACCTGCTGCTCTGCTGCACTGACGTTATTATTTTTCGGGCCTCTCTCTTGGCTTCTCAGGGGGTTTCTAATAGAGTGAGCTTCCAGCCATGCCCCTGACTGAGGGTCCCCTGGACTTCGACCCATCCTACTGTTGTTTCTTTCTTGGGGCGGTGTGAGGCTTCCACATAAGGCTGGATGTGTAGCTTGTTCTCGCAGCATTACATTGCACTTGCAGTAGGGACAAGGCTCAGTGCGCGTTCCACAATAATCCTCGTGGTCTTTGGACTGACTGAAGACAAGCTCCAGTTCGCAGTACTGGCATGGAACCAGCCGCTGAGAGCATTCAGAGCTCTGCAACAGACAATCATCATGAAGACGCAGGATTTAATGAAGATTAACGAAGCTGAGAGTTATAAAAATAAGGAATGGAAAGGCTTTTCAATAATACCTGGTGGGCATCCAAATTATTCTTCTCAATCTTTAAACCACACTTGCAGGTAATCTAAAATGAAAAGCACAGGATTTATTACATTATCATTATCACTGTTGTGACACTTTAGAATCCAATAAGGTTTAAATAAAGAAAACAACAACAACAACCCCCCCCCACCCCCAAAAAAATACACTAACAGAGCTTGCACTTGAGAAGAATTTAACTTTTACATTCTTTAACTTTTTACACTTTACACATTAATAAAACTTGTAGAGAGCAGGATGAAACTTTTTTCCCAGGTTCAGAAAAAGTTTGAGAACCACTGCAACAAAAAAAAAAAAAACATCTGTGATGTATCACAATATTTCAGCAACTGAGAAACACAAAATGTACATAAAAATATTTTAAAAAGCAGTGACTATGTATCACCGTGTGTTTTATCATTATTATTCCCTTCTGACAAGATGTCCTGCGCACAATTACATCTCTGTCAGCCATCTTCCTTCTGAGTTTCTATTTCTTCATTTCAAGTTAGCCAACTTTCATTTCCTTAAGCCCTTTCCTTTTGTGAAGTAACACCAAATGAGTCATAAAGTAAGAGAATCCAGTGAAATCAAATGGGTGGTGGAATCAATTTACAGCAAATAAATGTTTTCATAAATTCAGAATTGAATTTACAAAGCTTCTTTCAACATACAAAGTCTTGAATAATTTAATCTCGCACTGCAAGTTAACTTCAGTCTCCATGAGTTTTCAAACATAGAATGGGAGGCAAAACCTTCAACTTTCAGGCCCCGCAACTATGGAACCATCTCAGAGTTCGGATTTAGGAGACAGACCCTCTCTATTTTTAACATTAGGCTTAAAAGTTTCTTTTTTGATCCACCTTATAGTTAGGGATGAATCAGGTAGGCCTAACATTCCCTTTGTTATGCACCAATAGGCCTAGGCTGCATGAGGTCTTCTCAGACCTGTGTGTTTATACTGCTGTCTTTAGCAGTTATCAAGTTTGTGTCTCACATCCATAATGTGTCTTTTGTCTTAGCTCTCTCTGCGCTCTCATCTTTCCCCTACAGGTTACAGATTATGACTGCCTCTCCTTGAGCCTGGATCGGGTGAAGGTTTCTTCCTGTAACCAGGGAGTTTTTCCTTCCCACTGTCGCCAAGTCCTTGCCAACAGGGATCGTGCGATTATAGCAGTTTCTTTCTAAAATTGTAGGGTCTTTATCTTACAGTACAAAGCACCTTGAGAGGAAAGTTGTTGTGAGCTGTCAGTAAATAAATAAAACTGAACTTCATAACATCTCTCTCTCTCTTTACACACACACACACACACACACACACACATATATATATATATTCCCCACCTCTGAGAGCACACATCTATCTATTGCAGAGATCATGTTAAAGTCTACATCGCTCCTCTTCAGGCTTACCTGTGTATGTTCCTGCTGCTTGTGATCCTGCAGGTCTGACCTGGGTACTGGCTCCTGGCACACATCACACAGAGAAATATTTCTTCTGCAGTGAATCTCGTGGGTTGTAAAATTGGCCTCAGGGATGTCATGTTTGCTTAAAGGGACAAAGAAAATTAAGAAACCTTTTATAACGTCAATCTATAAAAAATATTCATCGGGCGATGCAAAATATTCCACCTATTATATTATACCTACCAATTGCCACAGAACTGTGTGTTTTCATCTGCCATGATTTTACCAAAGACTGTGGGGGGAAAAGTAATACGTTAGTAACAAATCAGCAAGTTGTTAGGAGGAAGATACATTTAAATCAGCTCTCTGGTGAGTTTGGCGTTCATATGAGCTACAGTTTGAAGCTAAAGAATATGTGTGACTGATTCGTGAAAAAGGTGCCATTTGAACATCGGGTGACAATAATTTTTTTTTTATCGAGCTCTATTAAAATAGGCCCAGACATTATATGGGCCGCCACTGTTGTTAGTCATTGAAACTGCTTGGCAGCAGGACTTTCGGTTTGCTCACCCAGTGTTTCAGGCAGGTAGCTGACGTTAGCTGACAACGATGGCCTGAATTAGCAAGGAAATTCCTCCTCAGTAATAACTAACAAGCATATTTTAACTACCTCGAAACGTTTTACTGTGCTAGCTCCTTATTATTTTGCTAGATATATAACCCCGTATTGAATACACGACTAGGTATCACCGCAAAGTTAACGCTAGCTAACTAACTTTATAAGCGCATACGAAGAGGCTACTAAGCCAAGAAGCTAATGTAACATCGTTTTCCCCCCCTTTAGATAGTTTCTGCCGACCGTTAGAAGTAAAGCCAAATCAACCGATTTAACGCTAGCGCTTATCAGTCAATGATATTCACCCAAACTCACAGACGACAGATAACTACTTGACGACAACTAGCCAGAAAAACAGTTCGCTATTTCCTTCTTGAGCTGGTTTAGATTGACACCCAACGCGGAGTTCGTCAGGCAGTTTACGACTCAACCAAACCAAAGCGTCTCGTCACAATTTATAAAATTGCAACCAGAATACACCTACCGAACGGAATGGCAGGCTCTATATTTTGGGGTCTGGACCCACTTACGTTGAAGCAGTTAAGGGTCAAAGTTAACTGTAAGTCTTAACTCAGGGCACAAAAGCTTCACTTATCTCGCCAGACTGATCTCTGATTGGTTGACAGGAGGACCGTGCAATGGCTGAAAACGTCTCGGGTAAATCTACTTATTTTTATTTTTTCTATCCTATTTCTCCGAAATCTTACACATTTAATGGTTTAGTGCACATTTTATTGTATATTTAGCTAGATATTTAAACCTATCATTTCAAAACATGATTGTCGTTAATCAGTTTTCTTTTTTTAAAACCAGAAAAATAATAGTTTCAAATTAAATAACAATAATGATTACCATCTTTAAAACTATTAGAATTTTAAGTCTACAATTTAGTGGCGATCGCAAACAAATTACCAGCTTTAGTCCCATTTAGATTCATAGCCTGGATACTATCATACACTACTCAATCACATAAAGCCAAAGTTCAGTCAAAACGTTATAAAATTAAGTCAGTTAAACTCAATGGATGTCAGTTTGTCCAGATAGAAGCATCAAACACTGAGAATTTACTTCTTGTGCTTTGTTGCAAATGAAAGCTACAACAGGTGCACTGCAGAGCTAACAAGACCACCTGCATAAGGGAATGGCTTTGCAAATGGTTACTAGAATATTGCTCTCTTTATCACTAACTGATTTTTCTCTAGTATCGCTTTTGCTAGTGTTCTTGATGGCACCTGCAGCCCGTCATGCCATCCCAAGAAGTTCTGCTGTGTCTCCCTGCTCAGGAGATAGGCGGTTACTCAAGGAGAGCTGTGCAGGGCAGTAGAAAGCCATGAACCCAGCATCAGCACCAGTATTTGCTCCTGTAAAAGCCCTACAAAATGATTCCCTGGAAACTGCTCAGCTGCATGTTACTAAATGAATTGTCAGAAACACTAATATTGGTATTGATAGTCTTTTAAAAAGACATGTCATGGAAATGTAGTACACACCAAGCAGCAGTGTCTTTTCAGTGTTTATTGAGTTTCTGATCTATCAATGCCATCATATCAGACACTTCCATTATGGTAAGGCACAGGTTTGTTCAGAGAAAACACTGATCTTATGTACAGCAAATGTGTGGACGTGGTACATACAAACAACTCTTTCTTAGCCTGAATGACCAGCCAACAATTGGTCCAATAAAAAAAAAACAAAAAAAAAAACAAAAAACAAAACTGGTTTCATTCATTTCAAAGCCCTTTTTGTTATACAAGATTCAAAAGATAAAGCCAACATTTTGCAATGCAATATGAAATGTAACGTCATACCAAAATCTTAAAAATAAAAATCATGAGGGAAAAAAAAAAGAAAATAAATTTCAAAAACATGTCATTGAATACAGATTCAAGGTAATGCCTGGAAATGCCTGCAGAGTACTGACTTGACTAGCATCTTGTGAGCCGTGAACTAAAAGTTTACAATTACACCTTTACCTTGGTATGACGACAAGTCTTTCTTACAAAGTGGTAACAAAAAATAAAATGAATCCTGCTGCCCCTAAATCTAATAGTTAGTTCCTGTTGTGCATAATTTAAGATCATAATTGGTCACGTGATTGTCCAATAGAAATTTAGGTCCAACAAGAATTCCCTTGATAAAACCAGACAAAGCATTCAGCAGGAATATAATCTGCTTCAGTTTATAAAAAGATGGTAGTACAAACAGCCCTGCTGTTTGAAGCCGGAGGAACTGACCATGCCTGAAATACTGCATACATCTCAGGTGTACGGGTGTAATAATAGTAATAATTATCCACTATGGTCCACTTCAGGGGGAATATTTAGTACAAATTTTGAAAATAAAAGGAAAAACAAATAAACTAAGTACCAGCACTGACTTTAATCGGCACCACAGAAAAGAACTAAAATTTTTTAAAAAGTTCACAGATTATATTTTGCTGTTAACAGGTTGACTTTACACTACATAGTCCCTTCACAGGGTCATTATAAAAGCTATAGGTGGAACCAAATTGTAAATAAAAGCACTATATCTCACATTTTACTATTTTAATCAAATAAGGAAGGAAAAAAAGTGCAAAAAGACAGTAATGTGTGATCAAACTGAAACTACTGGAGTCTAAGATGATGTTCTTTTATGGTGTAAGAGGAAAGGCACCTTACGATTAACTATCACTGAATCTCGTCACATAATCAGACCCCTGTTAGCGTGTGGGATATCAGATACACAACTAGCGCGTGACAGAGAGCTCTATATACTGTTAATATACTATAATATACTGTTACATTTTTTTGCCTGCCTTCATGTAATGTTACAAAAGCCCTCTGAAAACCTTTGTTAACGTCACTACCCCCAATCCTTCCTGTTACTCTCCCTGTAAACTAATGACAGAGAGTTAAAAAAGAAAAAGAAAAACCTACGTTTGGTCAGTTTCTGTAATTACAGCGGATCAGCTGTGTTTCACTTCAACTTCCAAATGTCCTTGGTCCAATTGGAGAAAAAAAAAAAAAAATCAGTAGGTTGCTCTTAAAGAGTCACTAACCACAGTCCTGTATATAAAAAAAAAAAGTTTACTCTACAAAATTATTTTATGATCTTGTGAAGCTAAAATAAACAAAAAACAGAGGCTCAAAGACAGCAAACAACCGAAAGGAACAAAAGGGAAAGAATACAGCAAAGATTCAGGAGATACGAGGAGGAAGGCACAGATTTTCAGAGCTGAGGCTAGAAGTCAGAGGTAGAAGAGGTCACAGACAGCGAAAAAAAGGAGGAAAAAATGTTATGAAGGGAAGACGTGTGATGAAATGTCTATCTGTCCTTTGATCCAAGCTTCTCGATCAAGTCGTGCAGGGGAGCGAGCTCTCGCCGGTCAATGAGGTTGAACTCCTGTAAGAAAAAAGTTTTTAAAAATTACACATGTATTCCAGATTAGTTTCTAAGATATATTTTATAAGTTTAATAATTAAATGGTTCTCAGACCTCATGGACAGACACAATGTGAATGATTAATGTAATAATTATTTATCTATTTAAGAGAAAACTAGACAGGGAACCTTTAAGTTTACAGTGTAAAACTGTAAAATAAAAGTGTAGCATTTACTAAAGCTCAAAAATAAAAATTTCTCTCCACAACCAACACAAGGCCTGTACTATGAACCAGGATTTGGGTCATTTCAGGGTTAACTTCGGTTTCTGTACTATGAGGATGGTTCACTTCTTACCAAGGTATCCTGGTCATTTACGCTGAAGAAATAACCTTATGTCTGAGATTAGGAATGGATTCATGGAAGATACCTCAGGCCTCCATGCTCAGATAGCAGGAGCATCTAAAGTTGTTGTTTTTTTAGTAACTTCTAAAGTCTATGTCTGTCCACGCTGAACGTCAGTCATAAAAGATAGATTTTAAGACACGACTGTATTCACTGACCCCCCGGCCTTGACTTTATTAACACAGCAGGTCTTTTCCCATCATACTGACTGCACATTCACACAGGACCTTATTACTATACTGCTCTACTGTGCTTTTCCTATTACAGACACACATACGGCTGCTTTGTCTGCATTATAGTTTTATCTTCTGTAAATTCAACTGCTTTGGTGACAGTAGACCTAGGCATGTTTGTGATGACTGCCAACACCACCCCTTTAACATGAGTGCTAGATTCATAAACCCTGGGTTAACAACCATATTCGTGTGACCGCTTATCCTGACTGCTAATGGAATCCTGCGTATGTCGACCTTTCTTTGCAGGCGATGGCCTCTTATTATTGTTGTTGAAGCAGTTAGAGCATCAGTACCTGCACTAAAACTGGCATTTAGCATCAAGCACGTGTGACGCAAGACACTTAAGTACATTATGTATAGTCTATGATAAAAAGACATCTTAACAGCACATAGTATTTACTGCCACACCCTATTAAGATGTGGTTTTATCTTGTTCTGCAACTGAGAGTAGCTCAGCTTATTCCTGTGTTTGAGCAATGTCAGCTATTGTGACAAGTGTGGTCTGTGAAGGTGTTTAAATATCAATTTCAATCTTTTTTTTTTCCTCAAAAGTGACTTTTTTTCCCCGTTTGGCTCTTCACATTACTTTTTTTTTTTTTATGTGGACATTACCACATTTAAGGATCTTGAAGAGAACCGTGTGGACAAAAATAGCCGTGCAGGCACACGCAGCACACTGCTGAACAGAAATAAACCGGGAGGCCAAAGAAGTTGCCAATCACAGTTTCACTTAAAAGTTAATGTGCAATGGACGCCAGAGAATTAGTGTGCACATGATCACGATGAAAAGGATGAGAAGAGGGAGCTAACTTTCTAATTATGGCTTTCAGCAGAGTAATGACTACTATTTCTACATGGAGGTGTGTGTACATGCAAACAATTTCAGGAGGATTTTAACTACATCTGTCTTCTCCACAAGAGTCTTGCAGCAAGATACTCATGTCAGGCGAATGTGCATGAGTCACATGTATTCTAATTTAACTGCTTACAGACTGAAGTAGCATTGCAAAAATATGTGGTATCAGTTATGGAAGTGGCTCAATGTAGATATATATTACAAGAAGTTGTCACTATCTTAAAAATGCTTTTATTCAAACCTGAGCCAAATGGAAACAGTTTCAGAAACATTATTAGTTCCCCCTCACAAAGATTACTCAAGTAAGAGAAAAAATGACTCGGGACTCTTTAGATCAGTATATATATATATATATATATATATATATATATATAAATAACAGTCCAGGTATGAAAGGGGCTGTAGAACCACAAACCACCTACCTGAACAAAGAAAATGAAGTGCTTGAAGGAGGTGTTGAGGTGGGCCTCCTCCTGCAGCTGCATCACAGAGTCAAAATGCTGGTGGTAGATGTGAGCGTAAACCCTGAACAGGCGCTTCAGGATGGTTTTGGCCACAGACATGAAATTCTTGGGAAAGGGAACTCCTGTAGGGGAGAAGGGGTTGGAAAATGCTGATGTCAAGAGAAGAGAATGCGCTGCCTCAATGTCCACTATGAATTTCATCCTAAATCCAGAGGATTGCTGGACTTTTAGCTCATTTGCCTAGCTTAAAAAATGATGTTTTGATATAAAACTACAATGCTGATAGTTAAAGCGATACTTTTCCAGTTTAAAAGTGATAGTATCACATTCACAGACAGACTGGCAGCAAGAACTGTAACCTTCTCATGCGCTGTCTTCCAGTTTTAAAACCTCAGCTGTAGAAAATGAACAAAGAGAAAGCTTGTTTGTCTAAGGGGCTTCTTGGCATCAGTCTGCTCCTCAGCATGCAAGACACAGTTTAGCTGGACTGAAGTCATGTGACTGGCTTGGACCGCCAACACCATTATCCTGCTGCCCTTGGTTATCTTGTCTGTATGTTTAGGATTGCATTGCTTTAAATGCCAAGTGTGCAGCTAAAAAACTTATTTCTGCTCTTTGGTCTTTTTATCAAAAACACAGAAGACCAATAACACCATAATTATTCTCACAGGCTAAAAGTAAAGTCAAAGGAAACATCCCTCTATCTGTTAAACACAAACAAAAGCTTTAAGTTTTGTTAAAACTCACCGATCTTGGAGGGGAAAAGTGTCTCATCATCCAGCTGATCCTGCACCCAAGTCATCAAATAGTCAATGTACTTGGGTGCAGAGCATTTGATGGGCTTCTTAATATTGGTGCCATCAGCCCAGTGATACTCATACCTTCAGAGAAAGAACAAAATCAGTAGTCATCTCTCAGATTACCACCTTGTTTCACTAGTTAAACTGGACTTGCTGAAGAAAAATGAGAGCTCTGCATATAACTGTGTATCTGTCAGGACAGTGGAACGTCATCTGGTAGCTGACAGGCCAAAAAAAGAACAGAAGAGGGAAATGCAGAAGTTTCGTAGTCTTGATGGCGGCTATGTCAACAGGAAGTGAACCCCCCTCGTCTCTTCCTCCTGATTAGAGACTGAGCGCAGAAAGTCTTGGCAGGACAGAGGATAGGGGAAGAGTCTAACTAAACAGCTTCTACAGAGTCCACGAGCAAGATTGAATTCCCGTGTTCCTCATGTGACATTCAGATGACTGATTTGAAGCTGATTTAACTTAACCATCTCACCACTCAAAATGTGATCTGGGAATCTGATTCTGCAGTTAACTCAGGACATCAGGTCTTAACAGCTGGACCAGGTCTCTTATGTAAAAGAAAGCTATTTTTTATCTCAGTGACACTTCCTGGTAAAACAACGGCAAATAAATAGATAAAATTTAATTGTGGAGATGATAAAAGACAGGAAGTGGACCCGCATGAAATGAGTCAGCTGAATTTAGCTTTATCTGACACACAGTGCAAAACAGATTTAGCTTTTTCCTTTTGTTGGTCTTTTTTTTTGTTTTGTTTTGTTTTGGGGGGGGGGGATTAAATCCTCAACAAAAACATTATGTTTTGGTATCAAACACTAAAAAATGTTTCTCTCATAGCTCAATAATAACCCAAGTCTTAAAAGTCAAAAATCCACTTCTCTGAAATGTAAAAATATATAAATAATCTCAAGTACAGTCAAAGGTCAAAATAAGATGTAAATGAAATTTTAACTAAGGCATAAAAATTTACCTTTACTCTGCCTCTGAGTTTTGCTGGCCGGTCTAAATTTCTATTGGCTTGTGAAAAAAAGTTTTAACGTTTTGTTTTTAATTAAATTAATTAATACAATCTAATGTTATCAAACTTTTTATTGTGTTTGTATTGCAGGTCTGTTTTTAGTCACAAATGTGGCTCACATTTCCATGGCAACACCTACGTGCTACAGCTAAATGAAGCACTGGAGCAAAGAATTTGTGTCGAGAATTTTTTATAATCAAATTACTTGACTAATCGCTGCAGCCCTAGTCTCGGTGTTGTTGTGTTGGATTGATCAATCTTACAGATGGCTCTTGACATTACCCATATACGCATGACAGTGGGCCATCGTGTACATCATTAACCACACAAATCGATAAAGCAACTAAACACCCGTGGTTTTCCTGCTGTGTCACAAAGTGACTTCAGTTAAATATGCCCTAGTGAAAATACTTGCTCTAAATTAAGAGCACAAACATGAGGAGGACAATGACTGGCGTTACCTTGGTCCTGCAGACATCACGGAGCAGCTCGTCTCGGTGCAGAACTCGGTGATGGTACCGTACAGCATGTTGATCTGGTTGAAGAAATCCACCGCTAATGGAAAGAGTAAATACTTATTTGTTTTATCCAGAATTTATGCATGTTATTATTATGAAGAAAGAACTGGGAGGGGGGGGTTTGCAACAAATTAGATTATAATATGTATTTTAGTATCATCTACACTCACAGTTTAATATATTTAAAAGCACAAAATGCACATAAGCAATATATTTAAACATACCATATTTTATTAGAGATAATATATAAAACATGTAATTCTACAATCCCTGCTTAATGCAACAACCAATTATTTAACAGTTTGCCAGCTGTGTGCACTCTTCTATGACCCTACTACTCTTTTCACACCACAGGGTGGTGCAAATGTGCAGCACCTGTACAGAACTATTTTATTTATGATTCATACTAACACTGGGCACAGGTACAAACTTTAACTGGTTAGTTGGATACTGTGTGTGTACTAAGTCACTCACTATTCACTGCAATCCATTCATTGAGATCCTCTCCTTCTGGCAGCATGACAGCCTGTCTCAGGTTTCCGCTACCCAGCGTTGCCTCTGCATGTTTCAGCAGCTCATACTGGTGGGAGCCCTCTGGGATGTTCTTCTTCGGCTTGAAGGTCTTAGATGAGCGACTACCACTGGAAAGAAATCAAAGTGGATCTAAGAAATATTGTCTTCACGGTGGTCATGTGGCACAGGCCATATCTGTCTGCCCCCTGCGGGGTTAACGTCTGCCCTTCAAATGTTGACAATGTAATTTTTACATCTTAAATATCTGATATCTGATAAATATACTGTTAACTGGACATGTTGATCTGTCTGCGTCTGATCCCTGCATGGCTGACTTTCATGTGTTTTCCTTCCTCTTTTATTTTTTTCCTTTATAAGGTCTTTTGGGGTAAGACTGTCAAATCAAATGTGTAACAGGACAGGGAGCTGAACACAATAAAAACTGAACTTGTGATAGTGAACTATATAAACAAGAGACTTTTCTCTAAAGTGTTGTTTTTAAAAGGCTAATCTTAGAGCAGATCCTCTTCCTGGGCCTTGATCTAAACACAGGAGGACTCCTATTCATGTGTGCACTCAGCAGATGCAAGCTTGGTGGTGGACATCTATGAACTTCACGCTGAATCCAAACTCGTGATGGATGACCCCTGCAGCGTTTGCTATCAAACCAAAAACTTTGGTTTCCACAGCGTCAGAGCCGTGACTCAACCACATCATAGTGTATACCCACTGACAGGAAATACACCAGTGTCACGGTATTACTGTAAACAACGGAAACTTAATTAGCGGCGTTGCTTTACACTTTATAACAACCCAGCGAGATTAGACCTCCAAAGGTGTGGCTCATAACTAAAAATTGAATGTCTAGCATCGCTTAAGTCAATTAGAGAGTGACTATATGAGCTAAGCTGGCTAACCAAACGCGAGTTAGCGCTGCTCACCAGGCTAGCAAAGTTAGCACGTACTAACTCACTACTTTAAAAAGTTATAGTTCGTGAGTTGTGGCGAACTGTAAATCAACAGTTTCCCGATCATGTTACAATCATCAGTGGTAGCTCTGCGTAAGAAATGGGTGACTTTAACATAACTTAAAACTATACTAAGACTGGGATGGGTAGCTGACCTCTTTATGTAGCGGTGTCTTATTTTATCGCCGCTTACTTCCCTTGACTGAACTTCGCAGAAGCGCAGCTAACATTAACCGCAAGCTCCGGCTGTAACTCAACGAGCGCTTAAAAAAGCAAAAACATTTTTTTTTACTTACAACAGGAAGCTCATCTTGGCGCAGGAATCGTTTAAGACCCTCGATTTGAACTCCTAAAGCTGGTTTAATAAACAAAAACGCGTTTTAGAAGTACACTGTGCGAGGCACTTGTCAGTGGTGCCTGCTAACAGCAATAGTGAAGGCTAACATGAACTGCACCCACAGACCCTCTTCCTCTGTCTGCAGCAGCGCAACCGGTAGTCTGTCGCCCCCTTCAGGCTGCCTGTGGGTACTACTACGTACATATTCCAAGATCAAAAACTTTCTGTTAGAAAGCTGTTACTTTCTTTTGTGTCATCCTGGAGCACTGTGACATACTGTGACACTGTAATACTGTGACATAGAACATTCCCCTTAAGTTCATTTTTTGATTGTTTAATATGAGGACCGTGAGACAGCAGTGAGTTGTGAGTTTGAAGACAAAGTTAGAGAGGTAGGGCTGAGAGGGTTTGGGCATGGTGCAGAGAAGAGATAGTGGATATACTGGACAAAGGAAGGTGAATATGAAGCTGTCAGCCAGGAGAACAAGAGGAAGACCTCAGAGAAGGTTCATGGATGTAGCGAAGGAGGACATGCAGAGGACTGGTGTGACAGAGGTAGATCCTAGGGACAGGGTGAGACAGTCAGATTTCAAATCAAACAATGGATATGTGATCTAAGTGCAGACTGTCAGCTTAAATCTTTTCCATTTTCAGTCAAATAACAAGCTATTTCATGGCCAGGTGAGGCCTGTTCCCTCATTATAGCAAAACTAATTAGGAAAGATAAAAGATCTGGAGAAAAAGGTCTAAAGTCTTGGATTTGCATTTGGAACTTGCAATATGAGTCAAAAAAGACACATCAGTTCAGGTGAAGGCATCATTAGTCTGGAAACACAAACTTATCAGAGAGATATCAAAATATAAAATATATAAATGTATATATATAAAATAAATAAATAAATCTTTGGATATATGAAACAAGATGAACTTGTACCTGAAAGATGGAGAAGAGAAGAGAGAGACAGCATATGATCTGAAGCATACAACATTATCTGTCAGAGAACCTACCTATTCATTTATAGCCCACCCTGCATGTGCTCTCCAGATAAGGAACTACAGTACATCTCGGTACTCTCCAAGCTCTAAAGCTAGGCTGTTCGCTTGTGGTTACACCAAAGAGTGAGAACAAACAGTGGCAAACAGAGAACAGATCAGTGTGTTTCAAAAGGTTCAGTCAGGTATTAATTTTTTCCACAAAACCTCCAGCAGACACTGGGGTTAACTCCAAAAAATCTACTGCCTTAGAAATGTTTTTCCTTTAAGAGCCCACAGTTTGAAATAAACATGAGTACAGATAAGACCTACATTTAATCAAGTGCTTGACTAAAGTACAATTCTTGTTATGTGTACACAAGTGAGTACTTAAATGTATAAAAATCTGCTTTAATACATCCAATAGATAAATGTGCCATGTACGCCATTATATTTGTAGTTGTTTTTTGTTATGGTTTCAGAAAAAAAACGTTTTAAAGGATGTTAAAGCTGCCAATTGGGAATAAAGTAATTACAATGGCTCAACTTGACCAAGAAAGCCATGATAATCATTTAGTAATCTAATAATAACAATCCAGTTTCAGTGTTGGTTTTAGTTTTCTTATTATAATGTGGGCGTTAAGAGTTAGAAGCAAGATTTAGGAAGTTCAGAAAATGTATTACAATACAAACACAACGCTTCATTTGATAGACTCGATATTAATTTATGCCAAAGCCTCATTAAGCTGCAGTGTCTCTGAGCATTGCAGGGTGTGATTTTGGCCTGCGGTGAAAACTGCAAAAAGTTCTGTGAAAATACAAAACAATTAAGTTAGTTTTGCAACTATATAATATTCTTAAGGTTTTTTTTATGAATTAGCTTTTAAGTCAGTTGATTCAAATGTTTTTACCACACCTAGACTTGGTTTCAATGTTGTTTTAGTTAACTATGATGTTTGAACGTGGAAACTGTACGTGAAAAATACCTTTAAAGCTCTAAAAACGACAACAATTCTGGCCTGGTACCGCTCATGAACTTCCACGCCTGTGCCACGCAGGGCTGCTGTAAAGGGGCAGGGCTCTGGTATCCGCAGCGGAGGGCTGGTGGTGACTGACAGCAGTGACGTAGGCAGCTTGCACGAGCGGGGGGAGGTGTTTAAAGCCGCTCTGCTCCTCTTCTTCCTTCCCAGCCTCTCTCCGTCAGACCCAGGCTTTCGTAACCGGCGCTGTAGCTGTGTCTCGTCTTCTGTGAGCCGGTGAGAAATGGCAGCGCTCAGGACTCTCAGGAAACTGTGCCAGCACACACAGCACCAAGTCTGTAAACTGCACACGTCCGCCTCGAGGTGAGTCTCCTCCGCACATCTGCTGCGATCTGAGCGGCTTTAACGGTCATTTTACGACCTCTGAGGCGGCTCTGTTACCTCACTCGGTGGGAGTGTTTGCTGCTTTTTTGTTTGTTTTTTTCGTGTGCCCACTTGTTTGTAGGCTTTTGTGTACGCGGATGAGGTCGCTGGGTTTTATTCTGCCGGCTTTTATTGTTTTATTGCACTAAACGTCCTCAGTGGAACACATTTCGCAGCGCCCCCAGCGTCAAGCCGGTAATATTGCAGGTGTAGATGAGGTGGGGGGGCTGGCTGATGAAATCTGTGGGAATGCTTGCACCCAGTGGCAGGCTTCAGGTGGAGTTCGAGATTTAGTTGTGCACACCTGGGGAAAAATGAAGACGCAGGGCAGATCTGATCACATGGTCTGTAAAACCTGATAACACGCTGAGAGTAATGCTGCAGCAGCCAGTCAGCAAGTGTCTGCATGTGCAGGTATTTATTAGAAACGTGCTGAGTGCAGTATGACTACATGCAATTAACTAATCTTTCACACACACACAAAAAAAAACTACTCCTAAATCTCGTGGGTCCTGCACATGATCTGCGTGATTTACAAAGACACAAGGCTGATAATTTAGGGTGTGTGTGTGTGTGTGTGTGTGTGTGTGTGATCATCTTACATCACGGCTTGTGAAATTAGATCTGGTGGGATCACGTTACTTCAAGTTAATTTCATTTATATGGCAGGAAAATTTATGTAAACTCAGCTGCGAGAGGTACTAGTGCTGTGTTATCATGTGCAGAGTAAACGATTATGAACATGAGTGATTCAAACATTTGTAAAGAGAGATCTTTCCTCAGCCTGTCGGGGGATTTGAACTTCTATTAGCCCTGTAACCTCGACACATTGCGTCTGGGACCTGATACACTGGTCCTAGTGATTCTCCCCAAAACACTCAATCCTTTTCTCTGAGGATTTAATTACTTTGGACAGGATAAAAGTGACGGTTACATCACTGTTGATGGCTCATTACTCTTCAGTTATTAGCCCCTGCGCTCTGCTTGTCATTATATAACGGAGAACCATCTTTGACACTTGTGTAAAGAGGACAAAACGGTGCAGCAGCCGTCCTAAAAACTGTACATGAGTTTTAACCATCGAATATCTCTGACCGTGCCTGATGGTTAGACGCTCAAAGAGCCTGACTTTCCTTGCTTGTTTCTACCAGTTTACTATACATATTGAAACATAGGTGGTAGTAAAGCACGTGGCCCAGTCTAATGTCTAATTTTAGAGGCTAGAACTGGTGCTTGGATTAAGGTTGAGATGAGTTTACATGAGTCCTAGTTGAAAGAATTTTGGCTTAGCTTTGGCGCCGCAGTGCTGTTATTTGTGCCATGTTGGCCAACGCTTTTCAATAAAGCTGTGTACAAATCTGTCAGGAATTAAACAATGAATCCCAGCATCTTGATGCCCAATAACTTGTCTTCTGACCACAATTGTCTCGCCAACTCCCAGGCAGGAGGCGGTGGTCATCTCAGGAAAGAAACTCGCACGGCAAATTAGGGATGAGGTCCGGGCCGACTTAGAGGAATGGGTCTCAACCGGCCACCGAAGACCCCATCTGAGTGTTATTCTCGTGGGAGACAACCCAGCCAGCCACTCCTACGTCCTGAACAAGACACGGGCTGCGGCTGATGTCGGTAGGTGTTGGGGGGGTTCTTTCTTTTTCCCTTTTTTTTTTTAAGGCTGGGGTGCACATTCCTCATACGTGTGATTGGCAAAACTGCAAATGTTCGCCTGTGTGTTCGACCTCCCACAGGAATCTCAAGTGAGACGATTCTCAAGCACACGAACATCAGTGAGGAGGAGTTACTGGACTTGATCGATAAACTCAACACCGACCCCCGCGTGGACGGTCTACTGGTACAGCTGCCTTTGCCAGGTACAGAAAAACTGGGAAATCCTGCATTGGGAGTCGGGTTTGCGTACGTGTGCGTGGTGTCTAGAAATCCAGTATGACGGCTGAATGCAAGCTTTGGTGAACGTGTGTTTGCAGCGCCTACGTTGGAGCAGAAAACTGCCCACCTGCCTTCTGTCTCTTGCTTGGATTTTCTTTCATGCTGGAGGCAGAATTTGCTCTGAGAAACTGAATTTGACCTTATCACCGTGAGCAGAATGAGTTGATGAAGTTGTTTTGACTGTAACTCCCTTTTCTTTGGACAGAACACATCGATGAGCGTGCAGTTTGCAATGCAGTTTCCCCAACCAAGGATGTGGACGGTTTCCACGTGGTCAACGTGGGCCGCATGTGCCTGGATCAGTCCACCATGCTCCCTGCCACTCCCTGGGGTGTTTGGGAAATTATTAAACGCACAGGTAACTATAGTGACCACCTTCTTCCTCTCAGACTCTTCAACAGCATTTTAACCCTATCTAAAAGATTGCAAATTTTCTTATCTTCCAGGTATTCCTACTTTTGGGAAGAATGTCGTGGTTGCCGGACGCTCCAAGAACGTGGGCATGCCCATCGCCATGTTGCTGCACACAGACGGCCGTCACGAGAGGCCCGGAGGTAGGACAGGATGTGTGCGCGCATTGCTGGGTGATAAAACCAAAGCGTGTGCACCCCTAACGCCTCTGTTCTCTGTGGCAGGTGACGCTACAGTCACAATTTCTCACCGATACACTCCAAAGGATCAACTTCGCCAACACACTAAAATTGCTGACATCATTGTGGCTGCCGCAGGTTTGTTGGTTGGCTTGTTTGTTAATCTTTTTTGTCTTTTTGCTGTACTTCACTAACTGTACTCTTTGTGCGTGTGTGCACGTTACTGACCTTTCAGGGATTCCAAACCTCATCACTGCAGACATGATCAAAGAGGGAGCGGCTGTGATCGACGTCGGAATAAACAGAGTGCAGGACCCCGTCACTGGAAAGAGCCGACTGGTTGGGGATGTGGATTTTGAAGGTAAGGCTTGAGAAGGAGAACATATGTGAACACCTCAGTGCTCCACACAGGCATTTAAAATTGTGTTCCAATAAAACGTACTACAGGCAACCTTTTTCAACTCCCCCGCGCACGCTCTGTAACAGCTGTATCCTATTACAGTACCACACTCAAGTTCAGTGAGCTTTTTAAAGTGACCCACTCTTTCATAAATGTTTGTAAAAGCACACTGCATGGCTTTGTGCTTGATTTTTATACAGCTGTGGCAATGGGACTGAAAACGCCCAAATTCGAAGATTAAGCAGTGTGACCTGCTAGCTTTGTCGTTGTTCTGGAGCTAGATTAGTTTGTAATAGTATCTAGAAAACATTATAATGATGTTTGTTGTTTTAATTAGATTTCTATATGTGACAATATGACACAAAATGTCAGATTTTTCCCATATTGAACACTTGCGATTAACATCCAAAAGTTAATACAACCAAGCTGGAGCTTCCTTTACATCCATGCAGATACATGCACAACTCTTTGAGTAATCCTGCTAGCAAAACGAACCAATGACGTCGCTTCCTTCATGGAGGAAAGGGAATAAATAAATGTTTGATAAACAAACATTTGGCACAGACTTATACTTTGCTTCTTGGAAGCTGAACGTGATCATGTTTCTGGAGCACATGCTTGGCATCATGTTGCCTCATTACCCGTGTTATTTATAAAGTGACCTTTATGTTGTTTAAATTATATTTATACACACGATGATGGAAGGAGGACCTGATTTCTGGAAAGTTCTATTTGGTGTATAAGGTCTTAATCGTCATACTTTTCCTGTGCACTTTCAGGTGTGAGACAGAAGGCGGGATTCATCACCCCAGTGCCAGGAGGCGTTGGCCCGATGACTGTGGCGATGCTGATGAAAAACACTGTCAAAGCAGCCAAGAATGTCCTCCTGTGTCCCCCACAGAGGATCCGCATGGCTGTTGCGTCCTAATTGGATCAAGACCACATCCCAGCAACAGTGACACATTCCACCGACGAGCCCACTCTCCACCTTCCCAACACTACCGTTATTATTTATTTATTTTTTTTACTTGGAGCAACCTGCCATGCTCCCCTTGCACATGGACTGGAAAGATGATAGCCTTATGGATCTCTTTCTGCTGATGTCGTTAACCTTTCATGACTCCAGGTCCAGCCATAATTAGACTGTTACATTCACTGATGCAGCAGCATGTTTAATGTAACAGTGTTTTCAGTATTTATCATTTGCATTGTGCAAGGTTTTAAAGAATTTTCTGAGATTATGTTATTTATTGGTACATTGACACAGTGTTTGAACATGAGTGAAACCGGGTGGTGAGGATTAGCTTGCCGGGTGACTGAAGCCTTTCTGCTGTATGTCTTTCTATTAGTTTATCCTGATGTGCAAAGGGTGATAAGGGCTAATGTCATCAGGGGCAAGTATGTATATCCGTATACAAGCTTTAAAGATTCACAATTGCCTTTGAGAAATCTTTGAAATAAATATTACAAATGTCTCCTAATGATGTTTTTCTGTTACTTTTTAACCGCCAAGTAAACGATGTCCGTGTTTCCTGCACTTCTTTCTAGTTCTTTTCTTTTCCTGTTTTGCTGTAACTGGATGCACCTCTCGCCTCGAGGAATGATCTTGGAGTTGAAGAGCAGTAAAGTTTGAGTTCACTGAGTTTGGCGCTCTGTCTCAGATTTACTGAATATACAAAAAATAATTAAGACTGACTGAAATCAGAAGGGAGATCTGGGGGATTTGCATATTCACTAAAATTAAATATGCTTTTACTTTGTTTCAAAATGTAGCTTAAAACAAAGGACAATGACCTCAGTCTTAATTAAAATTGACAGCATACACTCAGTGGACATTATTAGGTATACTTTCCTAGCAATGGGTTGGACCCTCTTTTTACCTTCAGAACTGCATTAATTCTTTGTGGTCAGTTACATATTTATATACATTCATTTATATAAAGTGAATAAAATAAATAAATAAAAAAAACTAGTAAAAAGAAGTGGATAGTTTGATAGTACTCATTACTTTTAATTTTCTGCTCTTGTGTTGAAGTTTGTGTCCCAGTTGCAGGGAGTTTGTTTATTTGAATAAAATTTTCAAGGAAATACTTCGTCCTGTACTTTCATTAGAGTGAAGATTTATAATTTGGGTGAGCCCCAGGGGATTTTTTTTTTTTTTGGTTAAGTGGGCTGTAGCAGTCTGGTATTTGGAAATGAACCAAAACAGACTGGAATTATTTAATTAATAAATATCTCAAATTAAATAAGATAATAACGGAATGTATTTAATAAAGATGTGTTTAAAGATGACGACACTTTGGTGTATTAGTTTGAGATGTGTAGATGACAGTGAGTCTATTACCTTGCAAAGTGTTTCATAATAAAACACTGCAACTATAATAATTGTTAATTTATTTCGATCATGTAAACAATATACAGGTACATTTAGCATTAATAATAATAATAATAATAATAATAATTAAAATGAAGTGGGAACTAGGTTCCTCAATCCGAGAAGGCGACGGAAGGAATTTGACGTGCACACTTCCGTGTTTGTCGTTCAGTACGGTCTGTAAACAGTTGTTCTGTGAGCCATGGACCGCAGCAGACCATCCGACAGAGCTGGCAGAGAGAAAAAACACGAGAAGAAGAAACGGAGACGATCCTCGTCCTCCTCTTCCTCCTCTCCATCATCTTCGTCTTCCTCCTCCAACAGCAGGAGTCGGAGCAGAAAGAAGACGTTGCACAGGAGCAAAGGTTGGAAAATGAAATGCTAGCATTCACAGGAAAATCAACCTCATCATTGGGTTATATTCTCTGTTTCTCCCCCAGATGAGAAAACACAAAAGAAGCGCAGAAGGCACTCGTCTTCTTCTTCCTCATCTTCCTCATCCACCCCTTCCTCCTCATCGTCGTCATCCTCGTCAAGCGATGAGAAGAAGAAGAGCGAAGCCAAGAAGAAGAAAAAGAAAAAGCAGCAGCTGAAGAAGAAGAAGGCGAAACTGAAGAAGCAGATCAAGAAGGAGAAGAAGAAGTTGAAGAAAAAGGAGAAGAAGATGAAGAAGAAGGCAGAGATAAAGCAGAGCCCAGCAGAGAAACCTCCATCCTACCTGGAGGTGTGGCAAACTGAGGAGGGGGCCGTGGAGCTCGGGCCTGGTAGGACATCACACACAACCCCACACTTCACTTCAGTGGATCAGCTGGTCACGCAAAGTCTGACACAACAAAATAACGGTGTTTTTTTATATTTGATAAATCAAGAGTGGGATTTGTTTTGCAGCTTGTGAAACATAAGGACTTATTAGGACACATTACTTCCTAGTCTAAGAAGTAGTGCACTGCAGAGCAGGATAATGCTGGCAGGCCACAAAGCTGCGGGAATGAGTTGTTGAAGCTGGGTTTAGAAGAGAGGTGATGAGCAGCACCATGACCTCATTCAGAGAAAGAGCACTACAGATGTGACGTTTGCTTTGAGAGTGTCAATGGAGACGTTTAAAGGAGGTCACAAGGAGCTGCACTCTTTCTTTATAGATCTAAATAAAGCATTTGATGGGGAGCATGAATGAGGACACCAGCGGTAGGAGTTGCAGATGGGTTCAAGGTGGAGCGAGATTACATTGGCTCTGAACCCTTCTTGTTTATAGTGGTGATGTTAACAGACGACATTGAGATCCCGTTTTTGAAGATCTTTGATTTGTAGAAAGATTGATGTTTTGTTTTTTTTAAATAATTTGACCATCACAAGTTGATTTCACAAACTGACTTGTTGGTACAGCGGCATTCTGTTACAGCACCACACTCAGGCTCTTTAGAATGACCCTTCTTTCACAAATGCTTGTAAAGAGACTGCATAGGTAGGCGTTTCTGGCACTGAAAGCACCTGGGTTTAAATTAAGAGCTGTGGCCCAATGTGTATTTCCTTTTTAGTTAACTAAAAATGTTTTGTTTTTTTTCCACATCTAGTTCATTCTGATGGTCTTGGTAAATCAAATCCCGATCAGTCTACTTGTCACTTGCATTTGTTGCCAGCCTAAATTTTAGACTAAAAGTCACTTTTCAACCATACATTCATTCAGCATTTATTTTGTAAACTTTAAGCACTTTATCTACCTCACACCTATGTTAGAATCACCATGCGTGTTTTAGGACTGTGTGAGGAAGCTCAAGTTCCTGGAGGAAAGCGCCTTTACCTTTATTAACTCAAAGTATATGTAGTACCACCAATTCTGATATTCATTCTGATATCGTTATCTGGTTATTTCTTCCTCTCTTTTTTCCAAAAATGAATCTGGTGAATTTTTGCCTCTCCAGTCATGACAGATGAGCAGAAGGCCCGTCTCTCCACTAAGAGGCCCCTCACCAAAGAGGAGTACGAAGCCAGGCAGAGCGTGATCCGCAGGGTGGTGGACCCTGAAACAGGGAGGACAAGGTAAGCAGGGGAAAGCGTGCCACAAGAGTGGGAGTTTGGAGGAAGAATTCACCCACCCTGGTTAAACTGGTGATCTTTTTCCCCCCTGCTGTCTTACAGACTGGTGAGAGGAGAGGGGGAGATCATAGAGGAGATAGTCAGCCGGGAGAAACAAAAAGACATCAACAAGGTATGACAGAAACCTTTCAGCTGTAATTGCAGTAATGTGCCGTTATAACTGTTAACAGCTAGACTTTATTCATCTCACAGCAAGCTACGAAGGGAGACGGGGATGCCTTCCAGAGAAAACTGGGCATCAACAGATAGAAGATGATGTCACCTTCAGCTTCATCAGCCTGAGAGCACCTTCACTAAACAGCTCTGCAGAAAGCAACTCGTCAGTGTACTGAAATGCACTTCATATCAAATAATAGTGATAGCAAAATAATACTGTGATGCTCTCCTGAGGTACACACGGTAGAAGTCATAGTGAGCTGCTTGTAATGGCTGTCAGATGTAATCGAGTAGATAGAAAGTAGTGCCTACATAAAACTGCTGACAACAAGGATCTTACTGGGATTCTGTTATAGTAGATTTTTGATTTCAACAAAAGACATTGCTACTGATTTTCTGTAACACTGAGCTTCATAGAAAAGTTTCATTTAATTTAATTATTGTGCAAAATCTTTGCTTTAAGTAATGATTAATCCCAGATAAGCATCCAGTTCAGCTGTCTGATATCACCTTCTCACACCACCTCGTGGTTGTCTTACATTTGTATCTCAATTTTTTTTTTTAAATTTCTCTAAATAAATCTCCATTTCTTTGTGAAAGTAAAGTCTGACTTCAGTTCCTGCTCTCATAAAAAAAAAACAAAAAAAAAAAACACATCCTCGTTTCAACTCAGTGGGGAAGAAAAAAAAAAGCCCAAATGCCTTAGTTGTTCTTTATGTTCTTTATACACTGTACATAAAAACACAAGGGAATGGGTAAAATGTAGTTATCCAAAACCTACAAGATACACACCCTGTACAGGTAAAATATTTTCCAAGCATGATATTGTGGTGCAGATATACAGCCTTTGAACGATAACTGTTGGAGGCGGAGCTGGAGACAGCGATGGGATTTCCTAATGTTGGTGAATTATGTCCCACTCTCTTCTTCTTCATAAATTTCCTTTAAAAAAGTCAAACAAACCAAAGTCCTGTTTAGAAAATATGGCCCCCATCTTTTCCCACAAAGTAACACGAACAACGTCCTTCAACGTGAAGTCTGTTCGGGGCGTGATCGGCGTACGTTCTCGCCGCACAATGGTCAATGTAAGGCAGTAAAACGGGAAATGTAAGGCCTCTGGTAATGTGTGTGTTGGTAGCAGAATCAAAGCGATTGTCTGCCCAGAGGTGGCAAAAACTGCACGGATCGCTTCTCTGGATTTTTAATATCCAGGCGTTTCAGATCAGGGAGCATGGTTCAGTAGCTGAAAATGTTAGATGACTGCATGTTTTCCAGGACTGACTGTCCTTTTTTTGTTTTCAAGTTACAATAATTGTACAAAGAGCTATTCTTCAACAAGCAGCTTTTTTCCTGTTCCTTTTTTTTTTTGTTTTGTTTTTTTAAAGAGTTATGGCTTTAAGCCGATTCTTGTCAAGGTCAAAATGCAGAGGGACAGAAGTACAGCATGAGTCACACTCTCCTCAACCAGCTGACGAAAATATAAAATAAAATCATTGCTGATTAAAGAGGTTACAGGTGCCTTTGATCTAGGATGTCTTACATCGTCTATTGAAAATGTGAAGTGGATGAAATGTTTAGAAACACATCTCAGCACAATACAATTCAACTGCATCACAAAGTGAAGCCTCTAAAAGGACCGCTAATTTTAAAATGACACCTCTGAAGAGGGCCAACGCAAACTGAAGGTTACGTCATCTGTAAACGTGCTGTTCATCGCACTTATGTAAACCATTTGTTTTGTTACCAGGCTGACTGTTTTATAAATATTAAGTGTGTCTGTCTAGATGCCCATATATTAAAATGGAAACATCACAACAAAACAGCGTGTCTCTCTGCAAGAGAAAACCCGACAGCCAAAATTAGGGCAGTGCCGTTTTAAGGTGAGTTACCCTCTGCAATTTGACGTCTGTAGACCATGTGCCTGTTCACCTGATTGTCAATGCACTGTGACGTGTTTCCTCAACAGTCTGTAAGATCTGGTGGTGCTACTCGGGAATATTGCACGTTTCCCCCTCGTGTCTGAGCCCATATTGGTCCACTGCTGTCAGCTCTGTCTGTACATGATTACTAGAGGTACAAATAAATGTTATTTAAATGAATAAATCACAATTTTGTTTTTAAACCAGCTTTAGAAAATAAATGGCCGACGGTATTAAAGCAAAATCTTAGCTCTGTGTTCCTACTTTCAACAGCGTATTGTACAGGATTTACAATT